TTTTAGATATTCCAATATAATTATTCTTTTTATGTGTATACGTCTAACTGTAATATCTACACATAAAGTGGAAGAAATTGTAAAATTTTTATAAAATTATGAAGTTAGCTTTTATTATAATTTAAATATAGATAGATATATAGATCTATTAATATATTAATATAGATAAATTAATAGATCAATATAGCGATCAAGGTTTGTATGTTACCATTATATATAATTAAAATATTTCTATCTATATATTATTTATTTATTTAAAATTTAAATGCTTAATTAAAATTTCGCAATCGACAATATATGTATACATACAAGATGCGACCACAAATTTAATTACGGATCTTCGAAATTTATATAAAATTTCTGAAGAATAAATCTACATTTATTTTAGATTCCCTGCGCGAATAGAATTGCAAATTATACAGTTATGACAAGATTTGATGTTAGATGCAGATGTACACATGTATACATTTCTGAAAGTAGAAAATAGATGAAGAGCTAATCTTGAAACGACGAACGTAGAAAATCGTGTCGAGCCATGTTTCCTTGCCCTTCTTGCCCAAGCGTACCTATATACGCAGTTAACAATATGTGATTATACGCACGCACGTGCGCGCGTGTGCGCCCGTGTGCATCGTGCGTGCACTTCCTCTCTTCGCGGATACAGAAGGATGCTGCGATTGGCAGAGGCTGTTGGACCAATAGTGCGCGGCAAGGGGCGGAGATTCGCTCATCTCGATCTGGAGACAAGCGTGAAATTTCTCTTTCGTCATACTTAGATATTCATGCGAACGTCATTCGAAAGGAAACATGAGCGACGACTTGCGAGCTCGACATTAAATATTTTTATTTTATCATTTTATAACAATTTCACAACTTCCGTCTTTAAGCAAATAATTATATGTTTAAATATTATTAATAACATTTAGAAAATTCTTATTTTAAAATACTTATTTTCTTAGACACTTCTGCAAATTGCATTTATGCGGAAAATAAGTGTTAGAACAATTCCTATCTTTTATGATACCTAAAAAAAAAAAGAGACAAACAATCTTTGCTATGGATATATTCTTTTAAATTGAAAAGAATAAAAGAAACAAAAGAATTAAAAAATTACAAGTCGAGAAATTAAAAAGAAACTTTCTTTTCTTTTAAGACCTTGACTTTTCCGGTTTGACTGAAAATTTTCTTTTATTTTATACTGCATATAGTAGAAATATTTTTGTCCTATTCTTATGTATAACAGTATTGCAGCTTCTCGGAAACGTACCCGGGAGTCAGAAAAAATGAGTTCGAGCAACCACTACAATAGAATAAAGAATAGAATGAAGGAAGAACTAATTTTTTGTGGTTATCTCCAGTTTTGCGATCCGCCCGATGTTACCTTCTTTTATTGTTTGAAAGTTTCTAAAATGAAAAAACTTTAAAATGCACTCCGCTACAAAAAACGGTAATAAAAGTAGAACGATGGATTAATTCCGTTGTTTACCAATTTTTATGAAAATAAATTCACAAAAAATACGGTCACTATATCAATAGTGACTCATATTTTTTGCGGATGAGTATAATATTTCATATTGAAATGCCATGTGTATCTACTTTATTCAAGACTACATTAAAATGTCTAGATATCTATTCCTTTGAATGTATTAAAGAGATGAATCCAGATAATATAATCTGGATCTAATCCAAACTCAGGTTATACCTGATTTAAACTTGAAAAGTGTTCACTTTTTAAGTTTTTTATGAATTAATGTAATCTGTTTGAAATGAACTGAAAAGAAAGAGAGAGAGAGAGAGAGAGAGAGAGAGAGAGAGAGAGAGAGAGGAATTAAAAAATATCTACAAAAACATTTATATACATATTTGTGTATATGTTATCTTTAATAAAAGTAATATTTGATTTGCATAAAAATCAAAATGTGATTAATTCTCATACAAAATTAATGCATATCGCCTACTGGATGCGACAAGTGATACCCAATAAGAGTTATATGAGAATCATCATATGACAAAAAGCAGATTTTTCAGTGAATGCGCAGTAAGCATAAGAAATAGAAAAAGATTGGAGAAAGAATGTCTTGTGAACCTGAAAAAGAGCTCAAAGTGCTTTTTTTTGATGATATAACAGTGAAATTTTTTTTAAGATTTTCAGGAATATTTAGAACAGAGATATGACGAAATAGGAATTTATTTCGGAGAATCGAAAAAGAATTTTTTCCGACTCTCTTTCTTCCGATTATCTGGAAACGGAACAGTTGGATTAATCGGAGAATCGAAGCTATAATATCGTCGGCGCTCAAGAGCGTAAGAGAGGGGGGACAAAAAGGGAGGAAAAAAAGGGGATAAATGGGTATCTATGACCGGTAACGTCATGGATCGCGCGCGCCGGAGGGTCGATCTTAATCGCGCGCGGATCCTCGACAATGATCCTCTCAAATGGATGAGCCCCGCCACTCGAGAGAGACGATGAAGATCTCTTCTTCCTCGAGGGGATATACGCGGTGTTATATTATCTAAGCAGGCATCCAGCGACTGAAATGGGTATCACCCCTCCACTCCATCTAACACGTATTTTCCGTATCCCTACGAGATACATTGTAACATTACTCTGCCAGCCAATCCGGACACTCTTGCCGATCCCGCTGCAGTATATTGCTTTGTAAACCCAACGGCGAGTCCCTTCGTATTGTTAAAAGCGTAAAAAACATTTTTATGGTTTTGAGAAAATAACAAACACATCCCTATATTTTTTACAATTCCGATTTTCGATTTCTCTTTGCAGAAACTTTCAAGTGCCAATAGTCCTTGAAATGTCATCTTCTATACAACACAATCTGTGTAAATGTGAACAAATAACAGATCTTTATCCTATTGTTAAATGAAATAGGAAAAAGTTCTGTTATTTGTTCACATAAATTGTGTGTCATAGAAAATGATTTTTTGTTGAATTATAAACTGATTGCAAAATATTTATTTAGGATTATTTATAGCACTGGATTTTAAAAGAGAGAGAGAAAGAGAGAGAGAGAGAGAGAGAGAGAGAGAGAGAGAGAAGAGAGAGAGAGATTATAAAAAATCAATTTTTTTTAAATGAATTTTTTCTAAATGAACTTTTTTTTATGATTCTTGGAATATTAACTCTTGATTAGCAAAGGATTATATAGATTGTATCGTAGAAAATGATTTTTTGTTGATTAAAAACTGATTGCAAAAGATTTATCGAGGATTATCTATAGTACTGGGTTTTAAAAGAGAGATTGAGTAAAAAATCATTTTCTTTAAGTGAATTTTTTCTAGATAAACTTTTTACAATTCTTAAAATATTAACTCCTATAGTAAAAGATTATTTGGGCCCAAAATAAAAAATTTTAGATGGTTGTATACAATTCTATGAGGTTTTAAAATATTAAATTATATTAACTGTAAAATCTTTGAACTTTCTCTCTTTATTTGTCGCCGTAAGACGAAGGTTTACTTGTATTTTAAACCTCAAATAATTTAGAAATTATTGTTGAGTGTAGTTTTTATAGCTGTGTTATAAAAAATTAAGATATATAGATTGCTTGTTTTTGTCAAATTTTTGTATGATGAATTGAATAAATACACGAAAGTTTTGAGCGATATTTATGATATAACATATAAAGAGTAAAAAAACATTTTTTATTGATAAATACATATATAAATATACGATATGTATATATACTTCGTTTTTTTTTCATAGTCAACGAAAAAATTTTTTTGCAGTGATATCTCGACCGTTGGTGATCTAATCGTGACAAATTTTAACAAGAAATCTTTAGGAAGTTTGTCGTTTTATGGAATAAAACCTTTATAAAACAGATTAAATAAAAAATAATAAAATAGCAGCTATTTTGCAGTTTTTATTAGCAAAAAAATTAAATTTTTTTGATTCATATAAATATAATATATACGTATGTAATATAAATAATATTTATATAAGCATTTTTAATAAAAAGTAAATTTTTTATTCTTTATATGTTATATAAATATATTTATACATTATACATATAAATTCAGAACTTTACTTTCATACAATACATTTATTTAATTCATCATAAAAAATTGTCAAAAATTTCAAACAATCTGACGCTCCAGTCTTCTTAATGAATTTGGATCTAAAAAGAATATTAAATAATCATCTAATTAATCCATGAAGCACTGACAGTTATTATTTATCAATTAATTATTTTTTAAAATAAAACTTTTGTATATAATCATGTTTATAACGCCATTACGAGATCGTTGTTGAACGATAATTATTAAACGAGACAATAGAAGTATTAGAATTAACACATTCAAATTTCAATAAAGATAAAGCTTACGTCAAAGCTCGTTTATTCCCGATCTCCTATTTAAAAGAAAATAAGACGTATTTCGAGGCACTTAGAAAATAAACGCTCGCAAGACCGAGCCCAAGCAATGTTCTTCCGTCCATTTATAAAATCATGAAACCAGATTGTTCCGGCACAAAATCGCCCTTCTTCTCTCACCCTCGGCATTGGGGTGCAAGCTCACTGTTCCGAGTGTTACGATATCGCCTCCAGAGGGTTGAATCGGGAGCCGTGCTGGCTGACTAGACGAAGCTCAGTGATTCAGTGACTGAGAGAGGGAGAATTGGAGGGCGGTCCAGACTTCAGAGGCGGTTCCAAACTCCCAGGAACGAATGAGACTCGGTGGGGGAACTCCGTGCGCTTTTCGGTTCGATGCTCCAGTCTTCACTGAAGCGCCGCATTGTGCGTGTCCTGGCTGGCAAGAGTGTCTTCTCGCGGTTATCTTGTGGATCGAGCTTGGTGAATCGCGCAAAAGAGAATAATAAGGGATT